CCCCCAAAAAATCCCTCAAGAGAGAAACCTTACAAATGCCTGCAGTGTGAAAAGACATTTACCCAGAAAGGTAAACTTACCATACATGAAAGGATCCACACAGGGGAGAAAACCTATAAATGTCTGGAGTGTGGAAAGATTTTCACTGAGAGGCGTAAGCTTATCATACATGAAAGGATTCACACAGGGGAGAAACCGTATGTATGCCTGGTGTGTGGAAGAAAATTCAATCAAAGCGGTCAACTGACGAGACATCAGCGAACTCACACGGGGGAGAAACCGTATAGCTGCCTGCAGTGTGGAAAGAAATTTAGTGGCAGTTCCAACCTTATGATACACGTCAGAAGACACACGGAGGAGAAGCCGTATATATGTTTGGAGTGTGGAAAAGGCTTCCGTGACAACAGTGTCCTTGTTTGCCATAAAAGAATCCACACAGGAGAAAAACCATACCGATGCCTGGAGTGCGGAAAGAGCTTCAGTCAAAACAGTAGCCTTTTGCGACACAAAAGAATCCACACAGGGGAGAAGCCGTATCAATGCCTTGAGTGTGGAAAGAGCTTCCGTCAGAAAAGCAGCCTTTTGCAACACAGAAGAATGCACACGGGGGAAAAACCGTACACGTGCCTGGAATGTGGAAAGAGCTTCAACCAGAGCGGTCATTTTATGTGCCATAAAAGGATTCACACGGGAGAAAAACCGTACAAATGCATGGAGTGTGGAAAAGATTTCAGCCAGAACAGTAGCCTTTTGCAACATAAAAGAATTCACACGGGAGAGAATCCGTACCAATGCACCGAGTGTGGGAAAGGGTTCGGTAAGAACTATAAGCTTTTGCAACATAAAAGAATTCACACGGGGGAGAAACCGTACACGTGCAAGGACTGTGGGAAGAGTTTCAGTTGCAGCAGCTATTTTATTTGCCATAAAAGGATCCACACGGGGGAGAAACCATATAAATGTCCGGAGTGCGGAAAAGGTTTTAATAAAAGCAGCCGTCTTACATCTCACAAAAGAAAACACACAGGAGAGAAGCCATACCAATGCACGGAGTGCGGAAAGAGATTTTCTTATAATTTTGTCCTCAGATATCATCAACGAACTCACACTGGGGAAAAACCATATGCATGCCTGATTTGTGGAAAGAAGTTCAGTGGGCGTTCCAACCTTAGAGTCCACGTAAGAATCCACACGGGGGAGAAACCACATAAATGTACGGAGTGTGGGAAGAGTTTCCGTAAGGACAGTAACTTTATTTGCCATAAAAGGATCCACACAGGAGAAAAACCCTACACATGCCAGGAGTGCGGAAAGGGCTTTACTCAGAACGCGAACCTCATCAAACACAAAAGAATTCACACGGGAGAGAAGCCGTACAAATGCGCAGACTGTGG